TATAACAGTGGGCCATTTATAATTTAAAGGGTATAGGATAAAACTTGAATAAGACAGAGTACGTTTGTCATAAAATGTTATTTAATGGTTTGAGGACAATTTCTAAATGTAGGGCAGGAAAAAGCTGTTGAGACTTAAGCTACTGATAGGGTAGGATTATTTTATTGTTTTTTTGTGATTCTAACACTCTGCGCGTTTCCTAATTGTATATGTATTAAATGCTGTATTTTCTCACATTCTGTATTCCCAGTCCATTCTAGTATATTCCAAAACATACAGTTTGAGAGATGCTTGACCTTTTGTAACTGCCTAGCATTTTTATTTTCATAGGACTTTGTACGTTCACAGCTATGCTTAGATTCATTCATGCCCCTAAATCTGCAAATTTAAAGCAAAACATGTATGGAAAAATTCCAAGTCTCGTCTGGTTTTGGAGTAAATCTGCGTGAACTGAGGACCATGATTTTGATTGAAATCTGAACTGCATAGGGTTCATTAAGGTCAGAACTTTTCAATGGATGTGGCTTATTTTGGACTTGCATTGATTTGAAAATTTCTTCATTTCACTTGCCTCAGCCTTGGGCTATTTTCACATACTGATTTTTGGGTTACAAATATGCTCAATTTTAGCAAACGTGCATTTAAAGTTCGTTAGCTCAGTTTAGTTAACTGTCGTGTTGGCTTATGCATTTGTTCAAGATGGTCTTTGTCAGCGCTGGGACCTTAATGTCCGTTACGGAGCCCTTTTTCAGGCCAGAGAGGCCTTTGGCAGTGTGGAGATGCAGTGAGAGATGTTTGGCTGTTGAGCAGAATGATTTGCTTTAGCATTGTTTCCCCTGTCCTCAGAGGTGATAGCCAGGTGTTGGAGCATAAGGGGTCATCCTGTGGTCCATATGCAGTGTTCAGACTTGTGAGTAAAGCACCTCAAACATCTCTCCAGTTCTTACAAGAAGATACTTCGTTTTGACTGATTTTCTTAACAAGCGTTGTTGCAATATTTGCCTCTATAAGATCGTGGGAAGATGTCAAAACATGGACAAGTCCAGATACATCACTTCCCTGCCAGCTGAAACAGAATACCTGCTGTTGTAAATATAACCATCCAAGCTAACTGCATTTATCAAATGCCAAAGTATGTTTCACACTGCATCTTCCTTTTTTAAAATGTTAATGTATTTAATTGCTGTTTGCAGTGATTGGAAAATGGTTCATTAGATTAATCTTTTGTAGGCATTAATATAAACAGATTAGGTTTGAGATGCAGTCTCCGTATGATGCATATCTGCATGCGTTAAGTCATTCAGTAAAGACTAGGTAAAAGGCTTGGACTCCTCCAGGTGGTCTTTGCATCTGTAGTGAACTTTAAATTACGAAGTGATTCAGAAAATTAACTATGTAGTGCACAGCAGTGTGGATTTGTGAACCTTTCTCTCTTTTTATTTTTTTTTTCAGTAGGCATTTCTGAGTTTGCGTGGTGTTTCTAAAGGCCCCAGGATTATGCCTGCCAGCCATGCCTGTGCCTGATGGAGTCCATGTTATTACTTTTAAAGCTTCTTTTCCTGTGCCTTCTTCCAGAAAGTCATCTTACCCTCCCTAGCTGGTTAGGGTAGATGAAGCATTTAGAAAGCTCTTTCACTCCAGATCACCTTGTTTGTGACGCTGGGGAGTCTGCAGCCATCAGGATGAAGAGCAGTTACGCTTTTAGCTAGTGAAGCAAGCATTCAGTTTGTGCCAAAGATGACTTCAAAGACAAATCCAGCCAGCTGGGACGGTGGCAAGGAGGTATGCTGTTGCTTTGGGTATACATGATGCCAAAAGTGTGATTACAACTTGTGTGTTACCATGCTGGTATGTTATATTTTAAGCTATTGCAAACAGAGTTGTTACAGGTGTACTCAAAGATTGTTATTCTGATAGGTAATTCAAAGCTGAGTGTTTCGGGGTTTCCTTTGCCTATTATTTTGTTGCTTTTTTAAGCATTTTAGCTTGGAATGCCAAAAAGGATGCAAATGACCTCACCCTCACCTCCTCCCTTAAAGAAGTGTGACACAATAGTTAAACGCAGGGGGCAAAATGCACAGTGGTTTTTAGGTGTTTAGTTCCCTTTAAAATCGAGGGAACCCCATATGTGTGAGTTGGTATAACATGCTGTCTAATCTTGAGCTGTTTTCTAGTCTGTTTTTGTCCTGAAATTTAACCCTTTGCAGTCCTGACAATGCTGATTTATATATATGCATAGAAGAGAAAACAGTCACCAAAAGGAGAAGACACTAGCTTTCTATCATATATTTCTACAGTTTTAATTTCTGAATATCTTTTAACTTGTGGCACCAGACTGTCAAAAATCTCATTGACTCTTTTTGTCAGTTGTTTTAGAAATTAAAACATGCAGATGTCTACTAGGACGGGATAAATGGTGCCTGTTACTTTCTTCAAATTATTGCAGAATGCCAGAAGAAGGTGGTATGTTTCCCCCCCCCCCGCCATATTAGAACAAAAAAGCTATTGCAGAGAGAGAGAGAGAGAGAGAGAGAGAGAGAGAAATATTACCTTCTGTGGTAGAAGTGTCTACAAATATCCAGGCATCAATCTTTATTTCAGCAGATTCAATGGATGTGGCAGGGAGGGATTATATAGCATAGTCCTCCTTTTATTAAAAATAAAGTGGCCTAGGTTTTTTCTTCATTGTTTCTTGTGGAGGTGCTACAGATTGTTTATGCTGCTTCAAGATAAGAAAACTTTGTATTAGAAGTCATGTTTCAAAAACGTAAACAAAATGAACTCTAAAAGCATGTAAAAAGTTTACAGACTTTGTCAACGCTTTGCAGGTAGTACAGCTCATCTACTTTGTTTCATAAGTTTTTTTGAAATAGCTTGCAAGATAAGTTTTACTGGCAGGGTAAAATGGTGAAAAACTTTATTTTGCGTGATTGGCAGAAACTGCATTCCTCTTTCACTTAAACTGAAGTGAATTCCAAGCGACTCCACTGTAATCAACACCATACTTCCGATATGTTATTTTCCTGACAGCGCTGCTGCAATAGTCTAGTCTTGTGTCAAAAGCAGTATTAAAAGATTCAAACAGAAGTAGTTTTTTGCAAGTCTTCACCGTTGTGTTTTTGTCCATAAATCTAGCTGAAGAAGGCTTTGAAGGATCTCATGTTTAAACCAAACAGAAAACAAAAACTAAATTTCTCTTGTGCAATTATTGATGCTAATAATCTGACTATTCAAAAAAAAGCTAAGGTTAATGTAGCATTTTCACATGGTGTTGTCTAAAAGAACTATTTCAGTGTATAGAAGAGCAAACAACTTTGCTACTATGGAGTCATGCGTGTTTGCAAACCTAGATGGTTGGCTAAGACTTCTAAAGCAAGAAATGTTATAACAACCCAGTGCTCACTTTTTACAGTGAAGATATTTTAAAATGGCAAAAATAACAACAAACCATATTAGGTAATATAACTTGTGCAGACATCCACTTGAAAATATCACAGATATGATGGGTTTCTTTCTAGTGCAGAAGATATAGAGCCTTAATAATTATCAAAAATAATTTCACCAAAATAGAGGTGAAAAATTGTCCATGCAACCCCATCTCCTCAGATTTCTTAGGAGAGAAATCTTTTCCTGACACCATGCCCTATACTATGCCAAAGATATTATGCCCTACATAATATCTTTACTAACTTATGTAATTCAGGCTATAGGGAGTAGAACCTTTCCACTTCTTACAGCAGTAGTAGATTAATGCAGTGGAAGGGTTTTTCTGTTGTAAATTTTTGCTATAAAGATGGGAAAATGGATTGCATAATTACATGGATTATGTTTCC